CAAGTCTCTGGATTTCTACCAAGCAGGCATCTTTCTGAGATATCGTAGATCCGTTTTGGTGGTGGCATACAACTTTGGGTGGGTGAATGAGAGAAAAGACAAAAAGACAGAAAAAACAGTCAAAATTTTCAGGAAACTATGAGGCAGCCTAATATTTTCATAAGCGGAGACTACCAATTTGACCTGTCCGCTCTGTTACTGGCGCTGGCCAACAAAATAGTTCCTCTGTAGTAGTAACTGAATGGTCTCCTGATCACTAACTTTCAGGAATGCTAAATTTTCCATATTCGCATTCTCCTGAACAGAAAACAACTGGCCGACCAACAACACTCTCCGGAAAAGAAGATGGAATAGTGACAGGGGGTGTCACCGAAAAATGGGTTAGTATTCTGTCTAGACACTAACCGATCAGATAGCCTTAATGAAGTTGAAACTCTAACTATAAGCTGTGTCTGCACTGGTTTATTCCTTAGAGGATAACTACACTTTGAAAAATATTATTTACAGACCATGCCACAAGAAGAACAAGAGTTCCTACCAGTGGAAAAGGACAAAAATCATTCGAAGGAACTTCGACAGATATTTTCATCTTGACACAATTGTTGTCGTGTCTCTGTCCAACACAGAACAAGATGACAGTTGTCCCAGACTGGAATATTCCACGAGTAACCAGTTCCGTGCGGTTCAAATGCCACGCCTACTCTGGCTCAGGGATAAGGAGTGTATATATTCGGCGCATGTGCTAAAAAATCAACAATTGATCGGTGGAAAGCCAGCTAAATAGATTGAAAAGAACTGCATGAAGGATCAAGAAATCGGTAAGCAAAAGCGAATCGCTTGAACGGATTATGCCGTCCTTGTGGAAGTGGTGCGGTTGTTAGCGGGATTCTATTTCCCTCCTGAAGGCTCTAGGTTTACGTTACAACGCACATTGGAAATAAATGCAGATTTTCTGCCTGAAGAACTACCCTAATTGGAGCTCTCTCAAATGTACAGTGCATTTCGCTTTGGCTTAAAGGCAAATTGTTACGACATTGAGGAGGAACCAGAGATACTCTTCGAGGTAGGGCCAGCCGCGTTCTGGAGGAAAGACATCTATGATTTACCTGTGCGCTGGCGGAAGGCCATAGGCTGCAACGGGACAATATGAAATAACTTATCTTTAGTGTCAATGTCGCGATATGATAAAAATCTCTCAACACCCCATTAACTTTTTTAGACCTATCTGTACTTTCAGCTTATGCTTGAGTAAAACTCTGGAAACGACCCATTGCGTATCACTTAGCGTTGATAACAAGACTGGAAGAGGTGTCAAACCAAACTTCTACAGCTGTTCCCCACAGTGACGTTGATCATCAATAGTTCCTTAGAGATACAACTTCCCTCATACCAACAGATATAAAGCTGTTTTTCTAAAGTGAAGAGAGATGTGAACCTTTTGGCAAACAAGCCCTACACCAGAGTGCTCGAAAATTCTAAGCAGACTATAAAAAATATTTGATGCGCACTCCCATTGCAGCTGTTCAAACAGTGGAATGGCAGATTTTCAAGCCTAAACTAGCTCGGCATTCTATAGCCATGTGCCATTTCAGGCATCTTGATCTGTTCGGAGTACAACAAACAATGGAATAAAATGTCTCTGTGAATGCAATGATAGCTGAACCAAGCTCTCTTATATTTCAGCTTTTAGCCAAGAACATTTCACCGATGTTCTCGTAGCGGTCTCATTCATAACCTAACCTTAAAAACTTTCTCATGAAGAAAAAAAATGGTTACGTCGGTTTTAGTCTTTCAACATCATCCTCAAACATGCGCTGCACGGTTACCAGTAGAGTAGATCGCTCTAGTGTGAGCAGTGGACAGATCCGCAGCTGTAGAAGAGGGTCATTCTCGTCGCTTGATAGTGCACAGGAGTAAAGCTGAAAGTGTGGGATAGCGATGGCCCTTAGCCTCTACTTGAAATGCACAATGCGCGGCATGTGCATCAATGCTGAGAACCCGCAGCGGAAAACGTGAAGGGCAAGCTGCCTGTCGCGGCTACCTACAGAGGACAACCAAACACGAAGGAGTGAAGACAAATGGTACATTCGCTCCCGGTTAGGTGTGTATTTAGTGATGGGACATATTGCGTGTCTGCGTGCTTTGTCGGAGAGTGGAGAAAAAAGGTATCTAGCTCACGTTACCCTTATTCTAGCGCTCTTTAGGGTGAGGGAAGTAGTACATTTGCATAACTGCTACCTCGCACATCGCGCGCAGCATTATAGCGGTTGAGAGTGCAGAGCACTTTAGGCACTCTTAGTGTTCGTTTGATGTTCAAACGCATGCCTTATACATGGTGGTTGTCCGCAAGCTTGAGAGACAAACAAATTTGCAGCTTGAATTGCGTGAGGAAAGCATACCCGCTCTCAACTCAAGACATCGGCCCACTGCCTAGCGCAACACCCTACTTTACTTCTGTATACTGACTATGGTGCGGCTTTTTTTTACTAGCTCTCTCCATTGCTGCTTGATTGGTGAGTGTTAAAAGAAACGGCCAATAACGACTAGTGAGAACTAATCCAAGAACGCCCCCTCTTCATCTGATACGCGCACAAGCTCGGTCTGGCATGGATTTCTATAAGCCACTTCAAATGATTTGCTTCTAGTTTTTTCTTCGCTGTTTGCTGCTCATCTATTGTCTTCAATGTCTGAGCGCAAAGCTCATCATTTCGAGGCGTGACTTAAAAGAGAACCCTTAAAAGAAGATCAAGCGACAACATCCCGACCCATACGGCCGCCACGCCCGCCCGCCCACAAATGGACGACCGTTCCTGACGCTCGTATTCTTCATTCATTTGCTGAGCAAATTATGAAGCGAAGGGATTGGTATGAAGCGGCCGTGATGCTGCATGCATATATGGGTACACATATGCAGCCGTATTTTCGGTAGCGGTGATTGGCAAGATGCCTACGGGAAACTCTTCCGAAATAGATTCTCAAATCACTCTTTGACTGTTTCACTCCGTTCTTTCGTCATTTCCCCCACTATATAGCGCTCTACTAGCATTTTAGGCCAAGTAGGAAGGCATCGTGCCAACAGCCTTAAAGATCTCTGAATCTCGTCCCTTGAGCTATGAGATCCGCGAATATACACACTGCATTGTGATGTTATATACAAGTGCGATGCAACAGACTTTATTGCAGTTGATGCGGAGTGGAGTTATTGCAAAGTATCACAGAAGCCACAAGACTTCGGACACACTTTCTTCTTGGTAGCCTCCGATAGTGGACCTTTGCAGAAACCACTTGGTACAAGAGACATGCAGCTGGAAAACCTCTGAATAGTTCTTGACGGGGTAATATGAAGAGGATCTTACGAGTGGTTGTCCTCGCATTTAGAGCCAGTTCCTGTATTTATGAATGGAACAACAGGTCGTTTTGTCGTTGTCGTAGTGGTGGTGGTAGTAGAGGTAGCAGTCGTAGCTCTTGGTGAATTTGCAGGAACTAGATGCTTTAGGTTGATCTTAGTGATTTCAAGACAAGAAATAATAAAGCAGTACCGTGTCGGTATTCAAGCACTGTCGTCGTTTTGACAATCCTGTTATACGTCATTATTGGGACACGGTTTATGTAAGAACGAAGAATTGTTCCAGCCGCGTCAGGTGAGCAGAATCTTCAATTCACTTCTTCTTTAAGGGTTTTTGAATGGGTTTTGTTGCGGTCAATTTGACCAGTATTCTGAGAGAAACTGTCAATTGTCATTTCGATCGCAATGATCTCCTCGTTCAACATAACCTCGTCATCCGGGCAGTTGATTAGGGCGGTCGTCAACGGGCCGCAGCGCGTGCCAGGAACTATTTGCTTTTCCAGGCTAATTTAGTCATTTTTTCCACCTTGTGAAGATAAGGAGCTGCTAATCTGGGAAAAAGTAGCCAAAACAGTGAAAAGTTGGAAAAAATGACTAAATTAGCCTGGAAAAAGCAAATAGTTCCTGGCACGCGCTGCGGCCCGTTGACGACCGCCCTAATCAACTGCCCGGATGACGAGGGTACCTTTGCGCACTTCTAATTTATTCAAACAGTATACCTGTAACCAGTGAGCGTTTGGTCCTTGTTTGTTTTGATCTCTACACCTGCATAAGGGCATCCGTCAATAGATAGACCTTTCGTGAAGTTCACTAATTTTACTTCGATTTCGGTTCCCTTGGGAGACTGCAAATACAAGGCAATTATAATTAGTGATCCGTAACTACTCGACACTTCAAGAGACGTCATTAAGGGCTGCTTCCCCCACTGAGTTCCCATTGTAAAATTTACGTGAATATGTCGATAAAATATTGACCTGCTACTGCAAGAATGCTGACTATTGGCAAAAGTCGAACCAGCATTCACGCTTTCCGAGCCAGTGTGCTAACTCTTACGCCATCGAGGCCGCATTTACCCTCTCTGCTTAACGGCTTTCATGCCGTATCCTTTCAGCACTGACACGTTTAACATGGTGAGCCAGTCAGCCGTTAGCACCAGTTATGATATTGGCCTGTTATTTCTTGGGATTTAAGACTTACCTTAATCCGGTAGTGACATATCTCGAAATCTTCCTGCTCACCACGGCCAAGGCCAATAGTATCCTCGAGTCTCGTCCAGTTAGGGGAAGCATAAATTTTATGGCTGCACTTTGTTACTGGCTAAAGCAAACACTTTCGGCACCAACTTCTAGATGACGGTTATATCTGATACGTTGCTCACTTTCTTATTGCATCGAGGTCCACCATAGCCACCAGGACATATGCATCTTTGGCAGTCTCGTGGATGAGGGAATCCGCCCATCTCGCATTTAACCGATGTAGATTTGTTACAGATCGCTGAATTTTGTAACAAAAAGTGTGATGAAAAAAGTGAAAGTGTTCATGTTAGCAGCAACGCTTTCTTCTGTTGATCCTTATCGGTTCGTATTGATGAAGCAGAGGGAAAGTGAGCGGGCGGCACCAATTACTATACATATATTTGTTGATGAAACCCGCATTCAGCTCCCATGTATTAGTCTCCCACCACCGGAGCACTGAAAGTTGGTACTGAAGTGGATTGTGAGGGTAACAAATAGTGAAATGATCACTAAGCTAGGGATTCCACGACATTAGCCACGACGGCTACAGAAGCTATAATTAGGTGCATGCCTGGTTCTAGGAATTCGGCTTACTTTCGAGTGGCAAAAATGGCTCTTCTCTGCAGCTGCGCACACAGTTTAGCTGGCTTTTGGCAAGGATCAGTATTTTTCAAAGTGAGTACAGCATATCTTCAGAGAGATATTTTAATGATGACCATCAAACCTTTGCATCCGTAGTGTTCATTGAGCATTGAGAGTTCGATGAAAGAAATGAATGGAGATCCAAGGGTCTGCTGATAATCGATGTCAAACGGAACCATTGTTGGCTTTTTGTTGAACGATGCACTAAATAACAGTAGGGTCAACAACTAGCTATTGTCCAACATTTTATATCACTCAGTGAATGTCGCAAATTGTGTTACAGCGATTAGGTCAGTGCAGTGTCATGATCATGGAGTGGAAAATTGGTTAGATTCTTTGTTTAAAAACATACCTAGTTCCGCCGTAGTGCATAATGCTGCCGTAGTCGTACGTCATGTTGTAATTATCGTTTGTTTTCGTTGTTTCTTTATTGAATTGACTTAGCCAGTCTACCTGAAAGTATGACCTCTGCGTCTCTGACTATTTCGTATAGTTTCTTTACTTCGCTCAACTAGAGGACCGACAAATGATACATGTTTTTGTAATGCACGCAAGTCTCCCCTTTAACTTGCAGTTTGCCTGCTTTTGTAGTCTGATAGCTGAACCGTCTGCAAACATCCTTTTGCTACGATGAACCATGTTCTCAAAGATGTTTACGAATTTCCGAAAAAGTGACGCTTACAGTGTTGTCGAAATCTGCTTAAGATCCCATTGCACTACAATACGTTATTTTTATAGAACCTCAACTGCCTCCGTTCAGGAAAGAAGATTTTGTCTATGCTGCTCAAGAAGATATAGCTCGAGCCTTTCGAAAATTCTGTCAAAGGCTTTTGCGATACTGTGGGAGCGAGTAATGACAGTACAGTCCGTACATTCGCTCGCTAACTTCGTGACAATGTTGTCTGCGAATTGATGCATTTGAATGTTTGAGAGCGTGAGGGACCAGTAAATGTTTTGCACAGGCTTCTAAAATTACACACAACTTGTGCGCCTTGCAGGTGGATCAAGGTATAATGTGATCACTCCATATTAATGGACTAGCGAGGAGAGGTGTGTCGTTCCGTAATACGGAAATTGGAGCGACTGTTGAACTTCAGTTGCAATTCTTGAACGGCACTGTCAATCGGTTACCTTGATATTGTGCTTGTTTACAGTGATGAAGTCGTCACGATCGTGTCGGGACATTGTATGGAAAAATCCAAGAGCGTGACCAATCTCATGCGCAGCGATAGATACTGTTTCGCAGCCACTTCCTAGTGACAGTTTCTGCTCACCACCGAGTTTTCCAACGTATGACCAACATCCGTCCTCCGGGAATACCATAATTCGATCTTTGGCTGAAACAGTAACTTTTTATGGGGGCTTGTGACTCGTCAAAAGGCCGCGTATCCTGATCCACAACATGAGAAATCACATCTCGATTAATTTTAGTGTTTTCTCACCGAATGGGTTCCGCGTGAAATTGATGCAAGTATCCTGTTCCCATAGCTTCGCTCCCTTCTCGAATGAACTTCTCATCTCTCTACCTTCAATGGTTGTATCATATCTATTTTGCGCTCTATCCACGAAGTACTACATTTTTACACATACTAGCGAGCTTATGGAAGTAGTAATTCACTCCTTCTGACCATAACATATTTGGATATCTATGATCCTTGAACGCTTGGCGTTTTGCGCGATTTTCACCAGGCAACCTCATCTTCTATATCTTGCACGATCTCCTCGGCTTGCTCCCTTCAACGGCGGTGGAAAGGGAAATCAACGAATACGAATAAGTATTGATTGAGTGACATACTCTGTTAGCACCATGTCGCTCTGGTAGAGATCTTTGCCAACCTGGCTGTATTCGTTGACGTCAGTGATTGAGTCTCCTTTCTCTGCGACTTTATCCTTCCTGATGGGTCGAAGTCTCTGTAAAATTCGATACGTACAAGCTGGCGTTTATCATATGCAGGCACAGTAAGATGGTTTATCTCGCCTAAATACACCACAACCAAGTGGGAGGTATAGAGAAACATTCTGAGTCTCATGACATTTCGTCGTAGAAGAGAAGTGAACTATCAGCGTTACCTTCAACCTTTCCTTGGAGCGATTTCATCATTTGAGGTGTTAACGTGCCAATTTGTCTTCAAGCACTTTCTCCTTCATACTTCTAATCTTGTCGCGAATTTTGAATAGAGCCGTATTTTCGAAGAGCTGTAATTGTATCTAGAGACTAAGTCACACATTTCTCGAAATCGGAAACGAAAAAGAGAAATTCCGGATGGAATAGGGTACAGAGCATTAACAATAGAAGAGAAATGGGAACCTTCTTGAATCCAACAATAGTGGCATTCTTCAGTTTCTGTCCAAAACTACCATCGCCAGAGAACACTCCTTTTACTTTGTCTACAATGCCTCCATCGACAGCGACAATCAAGAATAAGGTGA